AAAAAAAAAAAAAAAAAAAAAAAAAAAAAAAAAAAAAAAAAAAAAAAAAAAAAAAAAAAAAAAAAAAAAAATTAATTGTCAAATATCAATATATCCTTTACATAATAGAAGAATGTACAAACAATTTATTTGCATCAAAAAGATAAAAAACTATAAGCCAAGGTAATAAAAAGTTACTGACCATAAAGTAATTTATGAATGACATAATATTATAGAATATCCATAGTAATTATATAATTGCCTTATACAGTATATAAAAATATATAAATGTAACTTTTTCTAATGACTTAATAAAACAACAAATCTTAAGATAAATCTTTTGAATAAATTGGTATAATAGTAAAGTTATAAGTAGTTTTTAGGGAAAACTACTTTGAGACTTGCCTAAATCATTTTTATATCCCTGTCTTATACTGTATTTGTTTTTATGTGTGATAAAAAGATGGACTCTTCTATCTACAGGTTATATAAGCTTTTGGTTATTAATGACAGACTTGCCAATTAGCCAGCTACAGTAGTAACAATACAACTATTCCCAAACTATAATGTGAAAGTCCTAACAAGAGACCAGGGTAATTCTAGAGCCATAACTAAACAAACAAAAGTAAAAAAGAAATCCAACAATTCTGAAAAAACTACAAGACTAGAAAAAGAAAATCCAATAAATATGGAATTCACTACTTCTCAAGTATAACAATTTAGAGTTCACAGCCTTCAAGTCAATATAAGAACAAATATCCTGACCCTTTCTTCTAAAGTGATAGATTTAAAGATGAGGTCACTATGATGAATAATGAACTAGGCACAGTTGCAACTTATAGAATGGAGATGGAACTTTGGGCTTACCTTTATACTCTACAAAAGACCATAGATCTAATGGACTCAAACACAAAGATGAGTATGGAAGACAATAATGAAACCAGCTGAAAAAAAGAAGCCAAAAACATTAATTAATGGTACAAAAACTGAACTCTTCAATAAACAAAGGAAAAACAAAGAAAAAACAAAAATATGGTTTCAAGATAGCAAACTCCATCCCAGATTTTCTTTTGACAGAAGTATGAAATATAGGTATAAAAGAATAAAACTAGATATAAAGATCAAAAAAGTCACTGACTAACTTATATACCACATGATAGCATATATATCTAGGGCTTTGAACTTCCTTGAGGCCTAATTAGCATTTGTAATAAGAAATCTGATAATTAGAAATTTATCTCTGTTCTATTTACAATACATAATTAACTGAGAATACTAGTAACATATACTTGCACAAATAGATAATCTAATACTTGAACACATGCTATATACAAGAAATATAATAAATAAGGTCAACAATATCACAGTTTGAAATATCTTCCTGAACACAACCTTTTATAACATACAACAAATTTTTATAAAACATGGTCAGATCTGCAACATCTCAGTCTCAACTCAATACATATGCAATTAGTCACTATTATATACACAGAAAATATTGACAAGTGCAAACTCCTGGAAAACTGGAGTATCCAGTGCAAAGAGATTCACTCAGGATATTCAACTCAGAATGGTTCTTACAAGAAATGAAAGACAGAAATGGCTTTTCTCTAAAACTTATTAATCTATTAATAGATACTAATGTCTTTGACTTGAGACACATATCCCAATAAACAAGAAGCAAACATGCTATATCCCCTAAAGAATGAATTACAAATGCAAATGCTTTGCTGTAATTTATTTAGAAAGTGAGCAAGACATTTAGCAAGCAACTACAATAAACCTTACTCTTGAAGAAACAATTATTGAATAGACATCAAACTATATGTTATTTGTAATACTACCTAATATCTAGCAAAAGGCTATCACATTAATGAAAGAAGATAATAATAGCAAAACTATAATCAAGAACAAGTAGTGAGATTTGTCCAGCTATACATATGCTTTAGACCTGCCAAAATCACAAGCATTAGATGAATAGTGGAAAAAAAGAATATTGCAAAACCCATACATCCAGGCTTTTATATGAAAACAGTTTGATCCAAAGTAAAATCAAATCCAATATCAAATGGTATAAAAGAAACACTGTGACAAATCCTATAAAATATATAAAAAATCTAAGAAGAGATTATCAATATCAAAGAAATAGTAATAGAGTTAGTTAAAAGAATTGTGAACCTTGAGATTTTGGATAAAAACTACAACTTTAATATGGATGAAAAATCACAAGAAACTCGGGAAACCAATACCAATATCAGATAAATAGTCCAATGTACAATATTTAATAACAATAATATTAACTATTAATGTTTATTAGTAACATGAACTGGACAATGTCTGCTTTAGTTAGTACTATATAAGACCTTATTACATATAATAAAGGAAGTACAATATATAATAATCAACAATTAAAATATGCAGAACTACAACAGTAGTAATAATAATCACAATATATCTATAGTTAATAACAAAAAATGATTTAGAAACTCAAAATACTGACCTAAAGGACAATCAAGTCCATAATCCTCCTCAAAAAACATACACTAAAATCACAAATATCAGTAACAACATTATCAATAAAATATGCAACATGACATACAATATCAAAAAAAACTTTATTATATATAAACCTATCTAGAAATTTATAACTCTCAATATACAAGGTATATCAGAACTGTACAAAAGAGATACCTGGTTTAATTTCTATATAGCAATGGCCTGGTATATTATAGTCACTACAGAAACCAATGGATCATATCATCTTTTGAAATATTGGTGTTATATATACCTGGTTTAATTTCTATACAGCAATGGCCTGGTATATTATAGTCACTACAGAAACCAATGGATCATATCATCTTTTGAAATATTGGTGTTATATGAAATATCAGATTATTTAAATATATAAAGAATTACAAATGATAAACCAATGTCTCAATATGATAATAAACAAGGATATTGTATATCGAATATATAAATATAAAATACTAGTAGTTAAACTCATTGCTACAGATTTGGCTTTTTCATATAAAAAAAAATGAGGATCATAGGTATCTATTTCATTATATAGGACATTCAACTCTTTCCCAATCACTTGAGATGCAGCAACCTCGACAACAGGGAAATGGCTTCCAACACTAGAAACCCTAAGGTTTCACAGCTTGAACAACAAAGAGTAGAAAGATAACTAAGAGCAGAAAAAAGGAGCAAGGAAACTGCTTCCCTTCGTAATCAACCATATACCAAGAAGCCCACCAACACGCAGACAAAGACAACAACAACTTCGGCAGCAGGTCCCAACCATGATAGCAAGGAATCAGACCCCCAGGAGGCCTTAATGGAAACAACAACTGGCGCAACAACCATGGATATGGAAATTGAAACCCCCCAGGTGGAACGAATATGGAGTGAACAGAGGGAAGAAGAAGAAAATGTCAGCGGAAACTCCCCGGTCAGACAAACATCCCAGGCAGAAGAGACGACCAGCCAGGAACACACACAAGAGGTGGAAACAAGCACTCCATCTGGAACACGACACTCAGCAACACAGAACAAATCGGCTTCCGAGGTAAACGAGGAGGAATGCTGGACACCAGTAGAATGAAAGAACAAACCAACCCGCCACACCAACAAGCCCAGACCGAGGTCACCAGTCAATCCAGAGGTTAAGTATGGAAAATAAAGGTTCAAAGTGGAAATTGACGTCAACATCACTCCAGGTCAGAACAATGACGTGAAAATTTTATACTTAACGAAAGCCTTTAGCTCCCCTCCGGGTCTTATTGCAATCCACAATGAACATAACAAGGAGGGCACTCGAATCGTCGCGATTTTTGGGAATCAACAAGTGGTAGATGATGCAACCAGAATGGAGTTGCCGAATCTAGGTAACAACAAGCTCACACACATGCATATCAGCAAACAGATGATTGAAAAAAGTAAATCCATAGTGATCTGGGATATACCCCTGAACACAAGACTCATGGAGGTCAGACAACACTTCGCCAGATTTAGCAACATAGCAGGCATTAGTATGAGAACACAAAACCTGTGGCAGTGCGCCACTATCACCTTCAAAGAAGAAACAGTTAAGGAGAACCTTGTCAAGCAGCACAGCATCCTCATCAAAGGAGATGCAGTCAGGATAAATAACGCCAACTGGTTTGTGGATCAGATGAGGGAATAACACAGTATAGCAGCCAAACTACTGAACCTACCACTAGGTACCACTGCATGGGACCTGAGACAGGCCCTCGGAGAAATGAAAGCTCACACATGCTACATACCCCACAAATGCTCAACCAGATATCGACCCAAGAAATTTGCAGTGGTTAGTTTTGAATCAAGAGAGGATCTTCTCAGAGCTAAGGACTTAATCTTCACCCTAGGTGAAACTGACATTTCTCTGACCCCTATCAGCATGGCATTATGTGCCATCTGCGATGCGACAACACATCTCGCTAGAGAATGTCCCATCAAAGAATGAAGGAAACAATGGAGGGATTTCAACATATTCAGACCGAAAAGTACGGACAGATCTACAGTAAATTCAAACCAGCCGGAACGGGTGGACTCAGAGCAGACGCCTCACTGAACAACAAAAGAAATGTCAAACCAGCATCATATGCAGCAGCGGCAAGAGGGAACAGCAAACAACAAGACAGGGCAAACCAGGAACAGTTTCAACACAGGTGGTTGAAACAACCTACTCAACAACAAGGGCACATGCAGTAACAACCAGACCTTCATGACATCATGGCCATGCTCAGATCGATCCAGAAAGAGGTCTCTAGCCTCAAGGAGATAGTAACAGACCTGAATGAAAGGGTCATCAACTTGGAAGCTTATGATCAGGAATATTATGAAGAAATAGAACAGGACTTATACAATGGCGAAAAAGAGCAGGACACCTTAGAAAGAATAGTACTAGTGGCCCAGAAGTATTCCCACAAACCCAAGAAACGTCAGACATCTGTGAAAGACAGCAACAGATCAATAAAACAATGGAGGACATGCAAGTGAACATGCAATGAGCACTTGAGGCAATAGGCTCCTTAACAGACAACCAATATTACAACCAATAACAATCTTATGACTAACGAACCCAACAATATGGAAAATTTTATAAGTGACTTTCAAAACACAGAAATGAACAACATTGAACAACCAAACTTAATAGACTCAGGCTTCACAGTACAGATCGCAACATCAAACATAGAGGCCTTAACAAGGAAATAAACAGAATCTCATGGGCAGAACTTTGGCGGGAAATGAACTGGGATATTATTATCAGCACTGAAACAAACGGGAAAGACTGTTCTGCAAAGTTTTGGAGAACAGAAGGATACGAGTGCCACTGGATGAATTCAGATCAAAAACAAGGCACAGGTATGGGTGTGGCCCTCAAACTGGAATTGGTGAAAAAGATAGTAAATAAAGAGACAATCGAAGGAAGGGCAATCATGTTGGATTTAGCCTTCCCATGGAAGAAGTACATAAGGATCCTAGGATTGTACTTGCCAGCAAAGCACTTGAAGAGACCACACTTTGAGAAGAAGATAACAAGATGGCTTAACTCGAGCTACAAAACAAACTGGGAGACCATAGTGGCAGGAGACCTGAATGACCCTAGCATGCCCTGCATGGACAGGTTCTCAAGCAGGCACTACCGTTTTGAGAACAAGCTGTCATCAAACTGTATCCTAATTAATGACCTCAAGGATCGAGACATGATAGACACATTCCGATCAGCGAACATGCAAAAAAGAGAGTATACATGGGAGCTAGAGGTGGAAACAGTGAGTAGAATTGACCAGATATGGATGACACAGAATGAACAAGTGGAATTATTTTCAGCAGAAATCATCAACGAGTACAAGCAATTATATGAAAGCGACCACAGAATTCCAGTCACCAAAACACAAGTGTTTCTTCCCCTAGTAAAAAAG